GCTCCAGTCCGAGCACCCGAGGGGCCAGAAGGAGGTGGAATTCAGGGCTGGAGGGGAGAGTCAGGAATGAGGCAAATCCAATAAACAGGCAGAGGTGGGAAGCAGAGCCAGCAGGGCGCCAGGGCCAGCGGTCTGTGGTGAGCAGGGAGGCTGGTCCTCTGCTGCAGGCGCAGAGGTGGGAGTGGAGGCCACAGGCACTGCACCCCAGCCAGCTGCACACCAGAGGGGACCATGAGAAAGGAATGCATGAGAAAGGAATGGCGAGAACTGACCAGCATCTCAATAGCCAGAGCTTGGGGAGGGGTGGGGGACAAAATCAACAGCATTGCCCTTCTCACCAATTCAAACATTGCCTTTTCCTGACATACAAGAACCCACCACTCAGTGGCTGATACCGTCGGGCATGTCAGAAATGGCATATCAGAAACGTGGGCATCTGGGAACACTGTGGGACACAGTTAAGAAAGCCAGAGTGCTCTCCCACATCCCAGCTCTCCCATGTCCCCCTTGTGGAATCTTAGGCAATTTACTTAACTTCCCCGGGTCTCAGGTTCCTCCGATGCTATGAGCCCAACACAACAGCACCTACCTCAGAAGGTGACTGTGGGAACACACATAAAGGAGTAACAACATACATAATAAACTACTGTGGTACCCAGGACAAAGTTCCCAGTAAATGCTGGTTTATTGTTCTCTTATTGGATCGCTTTAAATTCACTCCTGAGGGCTGGCTTTTTCTCTTCATGCTTCATGAGATTCCTATGGCTGCTGTAACAATTGTCATGAACCACGGTTTAATTAACACAAATTTGTTATCTTACAATCCTAGAGGTCAGAAATCTAAAATGGGCTGGTAGGACTGGTTCCTTCTGGAGGCTCTAGGGAAAGAATCTATTTTCTTGCTTCTTTATCTACCTATCTATCTATTTATTTTTGTGACACAGAGGTAAACTTGCTCCCTGGCTACAAGAGAAGACCCTGCGGGAGTCCATGCTAAAAAGTACACACAAATGACAGAGCATCCAGAACATGTTCTCATACTCCAAGGAGAAACTCTGGGGTCATCCAAGAACTTCAAATGCTGGTTTGGATCAAAAAGCCAAAAAGGGACTACCTAGACCTGCCACTACATGGGGAAATAAAGTGAAAAAGAAAGTCTATTCCTGTCCCTAAAACAGTCCTGCAGTTTTTCAGTCAACCTCCTAAAAGAAAAGAGGAATGTAGGGCCCTCTGGAGAGACTGCCATCTGAGTCAGATTGATCTACACCCTCCAAAATCACACTAGGAGGACTCAGAACCCAGGTGGGCCACCAGAATGGCTCCATCCGTAGCTCTCCTTAGTTTACACTAAACCCAAACTATCCCTTCCCTCCAGAGAAATGGCTGTGTGTCTGCAAGCCCCCCTATGCCCCAGGTTTCAACAAGGGCCCAGTGGTTTCACCAACACCCACAATGAATGACCTTTTCCTACCAGTTCTTACACAGTAAATGGCTCAAAACCAAGTGAGGTTGGCACAGGATGGAAAGGGACAAGTTAAACAATAGCTAAGTACAACTATCATGGTGGCTTAACTACCCACAGCTTTCAAAACCTCAACTGCTAAACAGTGTAGCCATAGCCTTATCTGAAACTTTCCAATGAGCTGAGTTAAAGCTATTAGGTTTCAGCCAGTCATTCGTTTTAGATTATGAGTCTGCTTGGACTGAGTCCTGACTCTGGCACTTTCTTGCCATGACTTAATGCAAGTTACTTAACCTTTCAGTGCCTCAGTTTTCTCATCTTCAAAATGGACATAATAATGGAAGCCCACATTCCCCCATCCAAAGATGAGAATCCACCGATTCAGAAATTTGAGAGATTTTGTAAAGGCAAGAGGGTGCATATGCCATCTGTTAACATGACATCCCCAGTGAAATCTGTAGCAAATCAAATATGCCTATTAATTCTAGAATAAAAATGTATGAGTAGTTTCTCACCAGGTGAGAAAAGTAGAGACTATCATAATCTCATCTCAGACCACATGTTGTTGACAAATTTATAAAAGCCCCTGTTTTCAGAAGACTTTTTAAATTTTGGAACTATAAATAAAGGATGAGATCTCTAGCATTTACTGCCTAATGTCATAAGAATTAATAGTTAATAGATGTCAAGTGGTTGGAACAGTGCTTAGCATATAAGAAGCACTACATAAGGGTTATCAATATCAATTTCTATCATTTCCATTTGAAGAGACTCCATAGGGGATGATAAACAGGAAACTAAATTTATGACTAAATTTGGTTTAAAAACCAGTTCAGCCTGGAGATTGATAGGCATTAACCTTTGGAAAAAAATCTCAAGGGAAGCTAAGATAATGGAAATGTTCTACATTTACACTGTCCAGGACAGTGACCACTAGCCACAAGTAGCTATTGAACATTTGAAATATGGCTAATTGTATTCATCTTAATTTATTTAAATTTAAATAGCCATATGTGGCTAGTGGCTATCATAATGAACAATGCAGCTGTACAGAGCTAGGTTACCAATCTGGTTTGTTGTATTTAATCACAACACAGCTGAATTAGAACTGAATAACAAGAAGACTGTGTTCTGCATCCAGGAAGCAGAGAGGATCACAACACGCTGCAGAGAGTTTGGTCTTCCTGTCCAGGCCCACAGTTGGCCCATGGTAAAGCGTATCTTTCTCCACTCACATCCCACTTCCTCATCTCCAACTGTCTCCTTCCCAGACCTCACATTAATTGGGTGGCATGCTTCTGGAACCCCCATCAATATCTCCCAGGCTTCCTCTAGAAGCAACACATTCTGCAATCACCAGCCTTCCTTCCCCTCAACCAAACTCCCACTAGCTGGATGCCAAAGATCGCAACCGGATTTGGGGAAGAAAGCAAATTCACACTTTTATTTAATCATTTCTCACATTCATAATTTCATCAAACAAATTCACACTTTCAGTTGTTTGTTTTTTTCTGGCTTCTTCCCTGATTCTCCCTCTGAGTTCCTGTTTGTGGTTGCTGTTGTTGTTCACAGCAGGAGCCAGGATTGAGCTGCTATTCTCTTATACAGGCTGCTGTGGGAGGCAGCACGCGCGCGCACACACACACACACACACACACACACACACACACACAGAAGCAGAGGAACCTTGATCTGTGCAACTCCCTCCTCTTGCCCAGGCATGGGAAACATCCCTTGTTCTCTGCTTAGATGACTCTTCTGCCATGCACACTCCTTTTCAATCTTCCTTTGCTCATTTAGAAAGTTATATGTAACAAACTGCATAGTAAACAAAGTTTTAAAAGCATATAACAAAAGCTCAGAGACATATGTAACTAAGAATGGGTACAAATGGAGAAAGAAAACCAACCACGTTCATTGGAATCTAGCTGTACCACAATCCACTTGAGTACAAAATTTTAAAGGACACCAGGTCAAACCTGGAGCATATTCAAAGAGCTGTGTTTCCAGAATGATTGAAAGAACATTCCCTCAGCTTAATCTCACCTCTTACCTGGTTCCCAAGGTATGAACCAAAAATGATCAGAAGACATTCCCACATATAAAGAAAATTTCCCCTGTGGAATTTTAAGCGAAGGATAGTACTAATGGTAAATATTATACATTTTTAAATCTTTTCAATTATATTCTTTCTTCAAAAGTAGAGATTTACATTGTAGAACAAAATTCTTAATGTTTTAACACTGTCTTACAACTATTTCTAGAGCAACTTCTAGGTGCAAGCACTGTGCCAAAAAAAGTCACAATTGATGCCTTCAGTGGGGAAATGAGATGTCTACATAAATAGCTCTCATAGGAGGTGGAGAGCATAAAGGCACCTCGAGGAATCAGAGCAGGGAGAGGTTGGCTATTGCAGGCTGAGATATCAGGGAAGGCCTCACAGTAGTAATAGAACTAGTGTGAAGGTTGGTTAGCATTTACACTGGTGAATGTGGGCCAGGAGAGGCAACCAGGATGAGAAAAGAACATTCTAGACGACACTGTCAGGTATTCTTCAGAAAAGTATTCTCTAAGACATGGCTGCATATGACGGTCCACCTCTCCCTTCAGTGACAACTGGGCACCTATACAGGCATTTATGGGATCACCTGCAACCACCTCCTCAAGACAGGCTCTCAACAATTCTTCCTATGGAGGTTCACCATTGTTGGCCTTGGTGTTGCCCATCTGTGGCCTCAGTTCTGCCCCACCGCTACAGGGGTTTCCTTCAAGAAACCTATGGGAATGCAGAAATCTAGCAGAGATTCAAATGACCTGAAATTACCAAATAAAACTTTTCAGTGAAGTGAATCCTACTTAACACCTATTGGGGCAGTCACTATTTAAAATGACACTGACAAATCATTAAACAGTGCATTTTTACTTACACTGAAGAATTAATTGAGTCCATGGAACCAAGTTTCTCATGGCTTAAACACCGGACAAAGGTGGGAGTGAGGTGGCTCAACAAATTAACACTTGCATTCAGCAGGGGCCAAGGACTTCTAGATCTAGGTTATTCATTAGTACAGCATTGAAGGGCGTGTAGGAAAAGAGTTAGCCATGCTTCTTGTTACCAGTTAGAGTGGGACCAGGTCCAATACTGTATTTTCTAGGACTTGATGTAGATAAATCTCTCCTGGAACAATCTCACCAACACTTTCTTCGAAATACTGCTGCTAAGTCCCGCCACAGTTTTTTTTCTTCTTTGTACTGGCCACCTCCACACCATACACACAATATGAAGTGGGACTTGAGACAGGCATCTGAAGGAGCGAGGAACGCTCTTACAGGGTGACCTCCCGCCCACGCGATGGCTGACCCGCATTTCCTTGGGGATAGCTTGTCTCAGTCCTCCCCTGGGAGCGTGAGGACACCCATCCGCAGGTACGCGGAGTCAGGCTGGTCCTTTTGGCGCGTCCACAGCCCTGAAAGACAATCATCCCAGCTCTCCCCTTCTCCAGTCCTCTTAGACCGAGCTACAGAGCCACTAGCTCACCTTTCATCTTCTGGCCCGTCGCGCCGGCGTCCCCAAGTGCCGTGTCCCTCTGGGGCTGCGGTCTGCGCGCCCGTCGCCAGCGGCGTGGGGAGTCCCAACTACTGGGTGTTGGGAGCGGATGCCCAGGAACTCCTAAGAGCCGAGCAAGTGCCCGGGAGGCAGAGCCCGGAGCGCACCGCCGCCCCTCCCGCCGCGCGAGCCCGCGGGGCTCCGCCGCCCGCCAGCGTTGCCGGCTGCGCCCGCGCCGTCCCTCGATCCGCGCCCGCCCTGCTGTGCGCGCTGTCCCGAGCGCGGCGGCGGCGCGGCGCGGCGGCGGCGCGGGGCCCCCGCCCTGGGCCGGGCTTTCCCAGAACTCGCCCGCCCCGGTGAGAGGCCGCGAGCGCCGCCGCGGGCCGCGGGGCGGCCGGAGGAGCGGCTTGTGCCGGGCCCGCCCCCGCTTGGACCGCGTGGGGAAGGCGGGCGCCGAGGGCGGACCCGGCTGCCACCCCCGCTCTGGCAGCCAGCGGCGAGACCCCCGCGCAGCCCCTTGGCCGGGGGCCCCAGAACTGTCCTTGGGCCCAGGTATAAGGGAAGCTGGCGACAGCGCTACTGGGTCGCTGGACTCTAGGAAAGGCGGGAATTGGTCACACTTGGACTCTAGGAAAGGCGGGAATTGGTAATCACACTACCTTCTGGGGACCATCCCTGGTTCACAGATATGGAAACTGAGACTCACAGCTGCTAAATGATTTGACCAAAGTCACCCTCGTAGATGGCAGCAGGAGTCAAATCCACTCTGTCGTTCATTCATTTAGCAAGTATTTGTTGAACATTATCAATATGCCAGGCTCTGAAGATAACGCCTTTAGCTGCTAAGGGTTGCCATCCATGTCTGTGGACTCTAAATCCAGTGCTCTTTGTATGCTGAATCAAGTCTAGAGATGTTCACAGTTGCCAGAAGCCACAGGCTTTGCACAGAGCCTCCTTGGCCACTGGGGCAGGGTTTAACACTCAGTGCATAGTCAGGAGAGCCAGGGAACTGGAGTAAAATCAAATCAACTCCTCCCTTTCCTCTAAACCTGTGCCACCTCCCTCTTTAGCTGTTCAAATGAAAGACCATTCCTAGGCCTGACCTCAACTCCCACATTCAATCAGGACCAATTCTGTGGCCCATATCCTCTTAGACCAAATCATTCCTTTACACCACATCCAGGTTAGTTTTCCTTCTACAGCTTTAATTTATGCAGAAACCTTCAGTGGCTCCCTACCCTGGCCAATATGGACCACCCAATAAGATATCTCTGCACTCCAACTCTGTACCTGTACTAGCCTGAGCTTTGGAGCTGGAGCATCACCAACTCTCACATTCTTCTTGTTCAGGTTCACTCTCTTTCAGATGCCTCTTAAAAGTGATCTCCCTCTTTTGCGCCTCCAAAGCACGGCAGAGGCTGGATCAAGCAAGAATGCACAGGAGAGCCAAAGAATTCTGCCCATAAGAAAAATCTGCCAGCCTGTTCCTTACACTGTTTTGTTGTTTTCTTACCATTAGGATTTTAATGAAAACTAACATTACTGCCTCCTGTGAGAGATGTTTTGGGAAGTCCTTTGCAGAGGGCTCTGAGGATATTCTTTGTTCTTTGAGAACTCCAGATTTTAGAGCTAGAACAATGGGTTATTTACACCAATCCCCGAGTCAACACTGTCCCAGGGGGGGAAATGGAGGGACCAACAAAAGGTAGCATCAATAAACAAAATGGATTGATTATTTAATATACACTCTTACATGGTAGGTTATAACTCATTTAATGAATCTAGTAATAGCAAACATCATCAATCACCTGGAGACCGCAGACACACACTCACATTGTGTGTGTATGTGTGTGCTAATTGGTCATAGGAATTAGATTGCAAACTGGTGGATGCATAAGCAGTTAACATTGAATCTTCCAAATGAGTCATTGTACCATTAGTAACCAAGACAAATCTAGGTCCACTGAGCCAGAAAGTTATCTGAGTRTCTTAATCAATGTGCCCCCATCTCTGCAAAAGGGCACCTTCCTCCCATCTTTGCAGAGAGAGTGGGTCCATATCAGTGTCCTTTGCTCGCCCCCTCGCTCTCTCTTTAAATGAGACTGGAGGGAGCCCTGTCCCTGAGGCTGCCTCACCGCGTTGGAATGTCTGAGCTAACAGTACTTCCAGAGGGTTCATTGCTCCTCTGAACAGCACTGCCCAGACTTTCTGGAGATTTTAATTCACTTCTCAACCTCGCAACAGTTGCACACAAGGTGCCTTTTTACACCCTGCTCTCTGTTCAGTGAAACATGCAGACCATCTCAGGGGCACAATGGCTCCATTCAAGACTTTTTCAAAAGTGGAGCATATAACCTCCATGCTGTGGGTTGCTGCCAGCCATTATCTGGAGGAAGAAAGACTGTCAGATAAAGTGCCTGAGAATTGGGAGAACGCCACACAATTTCCATGGAAATTTCAGGTCAATCAACTTAGTTATACATCTGCGCACAACACGACTCTGCGTAGTAAACAACAGCAGCCCCAAAAACCAATAYTGTGGAAACTTTATTTACATATAGTGCATCTATGTTTGAAATTTCAAACACATATCCTTTTTGAACTTGTTACATAATGGTCTCCATTCAATGGAAAGTGATCTAAATAAGTGATAAATGTTTTGCTTAGGAAATTTAAGTCAGAGAGTCATTTTTAAGAAATACAACCATCTCCCTGTAATTTTCAGATGTGGGGGGCAGATGGTCTCTAACTTTATGGTTGTGGTTGCCAACCAGCGGCCCCACACCCTCCACTGCACACACGACAGAAAAAAATGATTGGCGCTTTGCCACACTCAACAAGCCAGCCATCAGTTAACCCATTTATAAACAAACCCTTAGGTTGATAACTGAGTGGTCAGTACAGGCACCATTGTTAAACAGCTGCCAATTGCCAAGCAGAGGAATTTGCCAATAGACATGTGGGGAAACTCGAAGGCTCAGGAGGAACTGAAGAAGAAGCCAGTCTCCAGCTCTAAGAGGCCCCATTTCCTCCCTTTCCAAGTCACAGCATCAGATCCTACAGGGCTTACCAGCCATCTGCAAGTAGGCTAGTGAGTTCAGACAGCGAGGAGAGAGCCAAAAGCAGGCTTTCCAGTGTTATCTCATAAGTGAAGTTAGCTGCAGTTGGGCAGGCAGTTCCAGATTGGTCACTATTTCTGCAACTAGAACCTCAGAGCTGATTAGTTCTGCAAGACCCCAACCAAACCTGTTCTTTCATTTCTCTGCCACTTCTCCTAGTATGTCACTTCTGCTAGCATTCCCAAACATTTTTATTAGTAATTATCATCCTAAGCACAGCTTTCACATCGTCAGCCACTCCTCCTGCTACATAATGACAACGATGGTAAGGGCAACCATAGTTGAGTGCTGACCACAGGCCATTCTTTTATTTTCTCATTCAAGAAAGAAGCATTGAGCACCAACAATATGCAAGCATTGTTCTAGGCACCAGGGATACAGCAGGGAACATAACAGTCMACAAAATCCCTGTCTTTGTACTGCTAATATTATGGCAAGAGTATATCGATAAAAAAGTAATAAATTGTGTAACTAAGTAAAGCATATAGCATAATACAAGGAGATGAATGCTTTCCACTGATTCTGAGGTAATGTGCTCTTTTTCCAACCAACCAACCAACAAAACAACTACTAGGTTGTTTTTTTTTTTAATTGTTTTCAACAAAGTAATCTGTCTGAACAGTTTAGTAGAGGAAAAACACACTCCCAAATGATTCATAGGCTAAATTAAATTTTAAAAGAATAAAAATAAGATAAAAAAGCCACAGAAATAAAAACCAGAAACCAAGTTATTTAGAACCGAAAGACAATTAAAAAGACAACCAGCTACATACCAGAAGATGTTGGCTGCAACTAAAGCAACACTGGACAAAAAATTTATAACTTTCTAGTAAGTACATTTGTCAGAAAGAAGAAAGYTTCACAAAGAATTGCTTAAGCACTCACTATAAGAAACTATTAGAGAACAATAGAGTAAAACACTAAAGAGGAACTAATACATGCAAAAGGAATTAATAGAAAATAAAAAGCAAAAAATCCAGTTTTTGAAAAAATCAATAAACTAAGAAAACTTCTAGCAAAACTAAGATTTTTTAAAAGATGCAACTATATAATCAAGGAATAGTAATAAAGTTTTTGTTTATTACTGCCTAGGGACCTTTACACACCTGCAAAAGAGCCCGTTTTCATTATTAGGCTATAGAAAGTGGATAGCATTATTAAGATAGAAAATGAAAGATCACAAGAGGACACCAAGAGAAATTGTACATTATTAATTTTTAAAACAGGTAAAACGGACAACTTTAAATGTGAGTTTTTTTCCAAGTAAATTATTTAATAATAGCCACCCTAGGCAGTGTGAATCCTTTGTTTTTTTTTTTCCCCAACATTATTTTGGTAATTTGTGTTTCCATCTGAATTTCAAGTTCAACTTGCCAAAAAAGCAGATGGAATTTTGATAGGGACTGCTATGAATTTGTAGATCAATTCAAATCTGTTTGTGTCTATAGATCAAAGAACATGGGGAAAAAAAGTTTCTTTATTATAAAAAGTAAATTTCTCTCTCACCCTTTACCACCCATTTTCTTGACTCAGACACAACCACTTGGGTACCTTCCCATTGGTGTTTCATGCATATTTGAGTATTAGTACCTTTTTTATTTTAACAAACATATTAATTGCACATTTTATGTACGTTGGCTTTGTCATCTGCAAGTGTAAATTAGCGATTCTCCGTTAATAGTGCATAAAGTTCATACTATCATTTGCTTATGCAGTCCTTTGCTGATGGAAATCTAAGTCATCTAAGTCATTTCCAACCTTTCATTATTACAGAAAGGGCTGCAGTGAATAGCCTTATACCTATATCATTTTATTTCCAGTTTTTGAAAATGGATGATGAATATTTCTATACGATAATTTACTGGAACTTGAGCTCCTGTGTTAAGAGACTTCAGAGTTTTACACTTAAAAACTGCTGCCAAATTGACCAAGTTAGAGATTGTAACTATTTACATTTCCTTTGGTGTTGTGAGTGAGTTCTTGTTTTCCCACCCCTTTGCCAACAAGGGTTTATCAAACTTCTTGAGGCTATTCCAGCAGGTGATTATTGGATCTACCTTTAGGGTGTGCCATTTACTTTGGCATCCTGCCTTCT